GAGGAGGGGAAAAAGAGAGAGAGAGAGAACGGAAGAAGCACGGGAAGGGCCGAACAGAGAAGCGGGCGGCGGGGGGGGGAACATCCTGGGCGGGTGCATCTTCCAGCCGAGCCTCCCTCCGCGCTTTGCTGCTGCAAGCATTTGCATTTCCTGGAGGCGAATTGCATCGCGAGGAATTGACTTTAAAAGGTGCATTTGGGGTTAGGATTTAGGATGGGTGGGTGGGCTTGGTGGGGAGGTGGGGCCAGCCTTTGCTAGCTGAGCAATGCGGGGGGGGGGCGAAAAGGGGAAATAAATACACATAGTGCCACCCCCGTTTGAATGCATCCCCCACTGAAGTCCATTGCAATTGCCCCTCTTGGAATCCAGAAGTTGGGGTGTCTTTTTAAGGCCTGCAAAAAAAAAAGGAGGGGGAGGTAATCTAGGTCAGGCTTTCCTGTCCTTTTGCACAGAGCCAGCCTTTGCTGTCTGGGGCAAAATTGAAATGACTGCCCCATCCCCAGATTCACTCCCAGAGGAAGTTATTTGGGGATAGTTGGTGGGAAATACAGTGGTGCCTCGCTAGACAGTTACCCCGCATGACAGTTTTTTCACTAGACCTTGACTTTTTGTGGTCGCTATAGTGATTCGCAAAACAGTGATTCCTATGGGGAAATTTCGCTGGACCATGTTTGATCCCCGCTTCGCAAACCGATTTTCGCTAGACAACGATTTTGACAGCTCCCTCCGCGCTCGCAAAACAGGTGTTTTCGGGACCTAAGTTTTGCAAGACAGCGATTTAAACAGCTGATCGGCGGTTCGCAAAGTGGCTTTCCTATGGCCAATCTTCACTAGACAACGACGATTCTTCCCCATTGGAATGCATTAAACAGGTTTCAATGCATTCCAATGGGGAAATGCTTTTCGCTAGACAATGATTTCGCTAAACAGCGATTTCAGTGGAACGGATTATCATCATTTAGTGAGGGACCACTATACCATCAATGCCTCCCCACCCCCAGGAAAAATTAACAATACAGTGGTGCCCCGCATAGCAACAATAATCTGTTCTGGAAAATATCGGATTCGTCCCTATCCGGATTCGTCGCTATGTGAAAAGAAAAACCCTGTTTAATGCGTTCCTATGGGCTTAAAACTCACCTTTAAGCGAAAATCCTCCATACGGCCGCCATTTTCGCTGCCCGGAATACGCGAAAACACAGCGGATGGCCATTTTTTTTCCGGTGGCCATTTTGGAACTGCCAATCAGCTGTTTTTAAAACATCGCTATGCGAAAGTCGGTAAGCGAAACAGCTTACCAATCATTGCAAAGTGATTTTTTACCATTAGAAACATCGTTATGCGATCGCAAAAAACAATAGCAAAAATCCGTCGCTATGCAGATTCGTTGTTAAACTAGGCACTCGTTAAGCGAGGCACCACTGTAATTAGCCTATCCCGGAAGACAGAGCCCTCTCAATCTGGCTCAGCATGATGGCTGAGGGAGACTCAGTCCTAGTCCTTACAAGTCCCTAGTCCTTCCTAGTAAGGACTAGGAAGATACCCAGTGTAGTGTAGTGGGTAGAGTGAAGGACTCTGGGGACCAGGGTTTGAATCATTGCTCAGCCATGGAAGTCTACTGGAGAGGTTGTGCAAACTGGTCAAACCATTTCTTAAATATCTCACTTATCTTGAAAAGTCCGGTTTGGGTCATGAATAAATCCATTCCGACTTAGCATGTAACGAGCACCAAGAAATATGGTTCAGGGAGAACTTTCATGGATCAAAATCCACAGTGCTTCTACAGTGTTTGGAAACATAACTCTCCTTATTGTGGTACAGAAACCCAGGAAGGTTTGAGACACGTCTGCCGTTCTTTCTGGGATGACAGTGTCACTAATATATTTTTTTAAGACAGACAAACAACGTAATGACAATGTCAACCCCACAGCTCAGAAAGTTAGGTTTAGAAAGAGATTAGTCACAGTTGTAGTTCTAGAGGAGAGAAAAGTAGGTAGTCACTGTTGTAAATTTCAAAACTAGCTGGACGTCCCTTTTTCTCCACAGTTATTGGACTAGTTACTTTTGAGGTTTCTTTCTTTAAAAAGACCTGGCAATGTTTTTCAAAATGATGTTTCACTCCGGAGACTTCCTGTCTATAAAAGCCAACATTTCCGATCTCTGTTACATTTAACTATGTACACTGGTGCGTCGCAAGACGAATTTAATTCGTTCTGCGGTTAATGTTGTCTTGCGAAAAATTCATCTTGCGAAATGCATTTTCCAATAAGAACGCATTGAAATGTAATTAATGTGTTCTTATGGGCAAAAAAAGGCAGAACAAAGTCAAATTTGGTTTACAAAGGGTTTATTAAGTGCTCTTTAAAGCCATACATATTGTGTGGATGATTTCAAAAATTTCAATCAAAAAACTTTTAACTTTTTAAACATCATAGAAAAACATTTAAAAATCAGCAAACATGAGGCAGGAACAAAAAACAGAAAACATTCGTCTTACGCGACCATAGGAACACTCGTCTTGCAAGTCATCAACCCCATTGCCAAAACCATTTGTCTTGCGAGTTTTTTTGTCCTGCGAGGCATTTGTCTTGCGAGGCACCACCGTACTTCTGTTTGAATAATAATAACAACTGTGAAGTCACTCCTGTCACTCATGTCCAGATCTCATTTGCATGAGCCTATGAGAGGACAGGAGGGGCGGAGACAGAGAGTCAGTTAAGTCAGTTAGAGAGAGAGAGAGAGAGAGAGAGTGAGAAGAGGAGGAGGAGAGAGGTTTGCAGAGAGAGTGAGATAGTCAGAGAAAGTGCGAGAACTGAAACTGTTGCCAGGAAGGTCAAATACAAAGTAAAACTTAGTATTTGACCTTCCTGGCAACAAAACTACTAAAGATAAGCTGGTTAAAGTGAATAAATAAAACAGGAGGTGATTGAATGTGTGGCAGAATATGTGATATTTCAGTGATTTTGATTCTATGAAATCAATAAAGAACATCTGTGATCCTTAATTACCCTAATTACCCTAATACCATTTAATAAACAAGTTCTGGTGTTGGCAGCCCGTGTCAGACTATAATCCTTTACAGCATGGATAAAGAAATCCACTGGTGGCAGCGAAAGAAAGAGGGGACGTCACCAGAGTGAGCCCTTTGGGTTGAGAAAAAGAAACAGGGGCACGGGGTGAACGTAACAACAACCATGTGTCGTAAGGTCAGTTCTAATTGATGGCGACCCTTTTCAGGGTTTTCCAGGTAGAGAATACTCAGAAGAGGTTTCCCCTTCCCTTCCTCTAGGGGGAGCCCTGGGACTGGGCAGCTAGCCCAAGGCCACCCAGGCTGGCTCTACTTTGCCGGTGGGGAATCGAACACCCAACCTCCGGCTCCGCAGCCAGAGACTCAACCACTGAGCTGTCCACCCAGCTACGTTCATTTAAAAGCACCTTGCAATTAAACTATGGAAACCTCTTCAATCTTATCATGATTACCTAATTCCCTATTATCTTTTTTTTCAGGGTCAAGCTTGGTTTGAGAGTCACAAACTATGTTGGGAGAAATCTCTTTTGCCCAGGGCTTTCCACTCATGTGAAGAATCCCGGAGAGAACTGGAGCAGTGGATTTTGTCTTTTCAGCAGATAACTAGGGACAGCCTGCAGAAGAGGTGCCTGGACAACCCCCCCCCCAGCGTACGATCGCAACCAGAGGTCTGAACTGCGGTGGGATCTCTTGTGGCGAAAGAAAATGGCCGCCGAGCCTGGCAAAGCTCCAGACTTGAGCATCCAGCCCCCGGCCTTGCTGAAACAGAGGGAAAATCTCTCTGTAAAAATTGAAGATCAGGAGCTGGTAAGAAGCCTGGACCCGGAGTCGGGATCCGCAGGGACGTGGGAGAGCCCCTGCCTTGTCCGTGTGGGCAGCCTGGGACCCTGCTTGAGCTGGAGCGCCTCCTCGCCAGCCCCCCATGTAAAGCAGGAGCCCCACGAGGAGGGTCTGTTGTCAGAGGGGTGGGCTGCCCCATGGCAGGACCTCATGAAGGAAACTGAGCCCCCTCGCTCGGAACGAGGAAACAGTCCGGAGACGATGCTCCTGCCTCCTTTTGAGGAAATGGCCGCCGCGAGCTACAAGCCTGGAGAAGAACAGCTGACCCTGTCCTTACTCGGTCTTGCGGCTGGGCCGGCCCAGACGCCGGATGCCGGGGAGAAGGGAAATGGCCGGCCCGTGAAGGAGGAGGTGGGAGATCATGCCAGATTGGATGCCGCCTGCCGGCGCTTCCGGCGATTCTGCTACCTGGAGGCCCAGGGGCCCCGAGACGTTTACGGACGCCTTTGGGAACTTTGCCGCCAGTGGCTGCAGCCGGAGAAACACACCAAGGAGCAGATCCTGGACTTTTTGATCCTGGAACAGTTCCTGATCATCCTGCCCCCGGAAATGCGGCGCTGGGTGAAGGAAAGGGGTGCAGAGACCTGCATCCAGGCCGTGGCTCTAGCCGAAGGCTTCCTGGAGAAGCAGCAAGAACATACAAGACAGGAAGAGCAGGCAAGGATTTTTTTCCCTTAAAGGCAGTTGCCCAATAATGTTTTTTTTGGTCACTTTGATTGTCCGTGCTTCAGTTGTGAGGGTTGTTATTTATGGCAGCGTCTGGAAAAGTTACGATTTCGGACTGCAACATCAGAACGCTGCCTGTGCTCTCTTGCAGTTTGTTGGATAGTTTAGTATTTATAGCTTTGGGGACAGCTTTTGTCCTTTTCAGGAGATTGGGTGATTATGGTGATCAGCGTGTTTTTGTTGTGGATGTATTGTTGTGATATGCGGGAGAGATTATCTGTCACTGTGATTGATGGGTGTCGTTAGCTGGTTTTTTGTGTGCAATAATCATTGGTCCTTGTGGCTGGATAGAGTTCGTTGACTTTTTTCAGGCTGTATTTTTCAGTGCTGGGAGCCACACCTTGTTGAGTTTTAAACTTTCTTCTTTTTTGTTGAAGCTCTTCTGGTGTTTGTGGATTTCAATGGCTTCCCTGTGCAGTGTAACATAATGATTGCTGGTGTTGTCCACTACTTCAGCATTTTGAAATAGAATTTCATGTCCAGCTTGTTTTATGGCATGTTCAGCTACTGCCGATTTTTCTGGTTGTTTTAGTCTGCAGTGTCTCTCATGTTCTTTGATCGAGAGACACTGCAGACTAAAACAACCGGAAAAGAGGTTGGGAATTCAGTTCCCCACTGGGCCTTTTTGACAGGGCTGGATTCCATGATCCATAGGGTCCTTTCAGTTCTGCAGTTCTAAGATTATTCAGTTAAATATCAGGAAAAATGTCTTAACTGTTAGAGCAGTATGACAGTGGAACCAGTTACCTCGGGAGTTGGTGAGTGCTCCAATACTGCAGGCATTCAAGAGAAACTTAAAACAATCACCTGGCAGATATGCTTTGAGTACGGGGTTGGACTTGATGGCCTTGTAGGCCCCTTCCAACTTCACTTTTCTATCATTCTATAATTTTTGCTTGTTTGGGTTTACTCTTAGCAATACCACTACAAGAGTTTATGTCCTTAAAATTGACAGGGAAATGATAACTCTCCATACAGTGTGCTGGTTTTATCATGGTAGGATCTGGACCTTTTGATAGGGTGATGGATGGAGTGTAGCATAGGAACGATGGGATGATGGCCAGTAGTAAGCTGCAGCTGGACTAAATCCATGGAATCAGTGGGAAACCTACATAGGTGTTTGACTCATCAAAACCTCACTGATTCAATGGGCCTACTCTAGCTGTGACTGACTGCTGGATTTCAGTGTCTGAAATCTGTCGCTGTTCAGCAGCTAAAGGCTAGGAAAAAAATACGACACTGCCCTGATATCTATTGTGTTCCTACGTCAGCCGCTTGACTATACCTAACGGTAGAGCCAGCGCTCACTTAAAGCTTATCACTTATTCATTCATTCAGTCCACCTTGAGCTAAGGTTCTCGCTGCCGTTTCAGGTGCCCGGACCACTCCGTATGGTGACCGTGAATTTCTCCGAAGCTGAGCCGGTTTTATCAGACATCTCCCAGAAGCCTCCTGGGAAGGAAGTCAAGGAGGAAAAGCAGCAGCAGGAGGAAGAGGAAACGGGGGCCAGCTTAATGGGTAAGGATTAAGATGTGATGACTGAGGCTCAGAACATGGCCTTCGTTACAACAAATTCGTTACGATAGTCATTGCTTTGGCTCCAATCATGTAAGCCAGTGGTCCTCAACCTTGGGCCTTGGGGGCCAGCTTAATGGGTAAGGACTCAGACGTGATGACTGAGGCTCAGAACATGGCCTTTTACAACAAACTCGTTACGATATTCATTGCTTTGGCTCCAATCATGTAAGCAATCCATTTTGCTAGACATAACTCCAGATGTTCTTGGACTTCAACTCTCAGAAATCCTGGCCAGCAGAGGTGGTGGTGAAGGATTCTGGGAGTTGTAGTCCAAGAACATCTGGAGGCCCAACGTTGGGGACTACTGATGTAAGCAATCCATTTTGCTAGACATAAAACCGCCCAGAGTGGCCTTGGCTGCCAGATGGGCAGTATATCAATCAATCAATCAATCAATCAATCAATCAATCAATCAATCAATCAATCAATCAATCAATCAATCAATCAATCAATCAATCAATCAATCAATCAATCAATCAATCAAAAGTGTTGAATTGTTGTTATGACCAGGCCAGAGAAGTAAATGCAGGAAATATACTTTGCTGCTCTCCACTAGCCAATTCTGATATTGCGCACTGGAAATACAGTGGTGCCCCGCACAGCGAGGATCAAAACCAAAGCATACTTCCTGCACCACTTAGGATTGCCAGAGAATGGCGTAAAACCTTAATAATTTATATTCAGTTCCTTTAAGAATGACCTGAAAATATATTTTTAAAAGTAGTATTTGAAAGCCACTTTTATCACTATGCCCAAATTAAGGTGTTAGTCATTACACCTTTAAAAAGTGAATAACTGCTAGTTATACTGGTGCTGGAAAAGTAACTACATAGTAACTTAGGGTAAGTGCTGGAAAAGTAACTACATAGTAACTTAGGGTAAGGCTGGCCAAGCTGGCCTCATCTTTCCTGTCCTTCCACAGACAGATGAAGACCTTCTTCTTGAGACAGACTCTTCCGTAGGGACGAGCCATCTCAAGCCCCTTTGCCACCTCCAGAGGACCGAAATCAACTCACAGACACGTCCTATGAATTTTTGGACTCTTGCGCACCATTTTTCTGTACTGTCCACAAAGGGGTTGTGCTCAGCCTGAAGAAGTGGGATTTTCTCCACCAAAGTTTGCAGTCTGTTTGACTTTTTTTTGCGGTTCAATGAAAGGTATCTGTGTAATCTTGGGGAACCACACCGTTTTTTCCTTGTTCTTTCTGGAGGAGGGCTGCAGCAGAATTAACCTTGTTAATTATCCTAGGGGGTAATTCTTTTTTTCTGGCTTGATTTTTGGAGGGAATATGGGGGGGGGAGAGAGGACACATCAAAACAGTCCCATGGCCTGCATAATTCCTCTCCTCACTGTAAAATTGGTCCATATTGTATTAATAGTCATTTGCTCTCAAGCAAATTCTGACGGATGGAGATCCTTTTCAAGGTTTCCTAGGTAGAAAGTACTTAGAAATGGTTGACCCTTCCCTTCTTCTGGGGGCAACTTGGAACTGTGCAGCTTGCCCAAGGCTACACAGACTGGTTTTTCTCCCAGGAGGCCCAGTGGGGAATCGAACTTCCAACCTCTGATTTTGCAGCCAGGAACCTAAATCACTGAGCTATCCAGCCAGTCTGTATTATATTACTCCTGTGCTAATGGGGAAATTGAGGATGAGAGAGAATAGGTTGTTTATGCCCACCTAGGAAGGTCATGGTAGATGTGAGGTTAAAATAAGCCTCTTTTTCTTTCTCTCTGGTAAAAATCAGGAAAAAAAACTGTGTGGCTTCCAGAAGAATATCAGGGACCTAAATCACTGAGCTATCCAGCCAGTCTGTATTATATTACTCCTGTGCTAATGGGGAAATTGAGGATGAGAGAGAATAGGTTGTGTATGCCCACCTAGGAAGGTCATGGTAGATGTGAGGTTAAAATAAGCCTCTTTTTCTTTCTCTCTGGTAAAAATCAGGAAAAAAAACTGTGTGGCTTCCAGAAGAATATAAATTCAGGAGCAGATGATACCTCTATTAGACCATCTATAAATATCAAACAAACAACAAACAGCTAGCTTTTGATGATAATTCCTCTTCTTCAGGCTGTGCACCAAGTTCTTGTCACAGAGTCATAGAGTTGGAAGGGACCACTGAGGCCATCCAGTCCAATCCCTTTTCCTGTAGTTTGAAACCGTTGCTCTGTGTCCTAGTCTCTGGAGCCCTGGAAACCAAACCTGTCCCCTTTTCAACATGACATCCTTTCAAATATTTAAACGTAGCTATCCAGTCCCCGTGGAAGACAGGAGGGCCTGGCATGCTTGTCCCCGTGGAAGACTGGAGGGCTTGGCATGCTCTGGTCCATGGGGGCCACAAAGAGTCAGACACGACTTGACGACTAAACAACAACGAAACAAATCATGTCCCTGCTCAACCTTCTTTTTGTAAGGCTATACGACTTGACGACTAAACAACAACAAAACAAATCATATCCCTGCTCAACCTTCTTTTTGTAAGGCTAAACATTCCCAGCTCCCTCATAGGACATGGCTTCCAGACCTTTGACTATTTTGGTCGCCCTCCTCTAGACACGCTCCAGGTTGTCAACATCCTTCTTGAACTGAGGTGCCCAGAACTGGACACAATACTCGAAGAGAGGTTTATTGATTCCTGTTGATGCAACCAAGAATTGCATTGGCTTTCTTGGCGGCCGCATCACACTGCTGGCTCATGTTCAGTTTGTGGTCTACCAAGACTCCTAGATCCCTTTCACAGGTACTGTCGTCTAGCCAGGTGTCTTTCATCCTATATCGGTGCAGTTCATTTTTTTCTGCCTAGGCATAGGACCTTACATTTCTGTGTTGAAATTCATTTTTAAAGGTTCACTGTTTTAAAAAAATTTAATGGTGCCCAGAGTAGACCTTTGGTCTAGATGGGAGGGGTAGAAGTTAACTGATTGATTGATTGATTGACTGATTGATTGATTGATTGATTGATTGTTATTTATTTATTTATTTATTTATTTATTTATTTATTTATTTATTTATTTATTTATTTATTTATTTATTTATTTAGCATTTCCAATGGGTCTTGCAGTGTTTATTTGCTTTTTGGTGATTTTTGTTTCCATTTCTGATGGGCCTTGCAGGGTTTGCTCTCAGGATAATCTTTCAAGGTCATTTTGAATTTTAAACCTGTCCTCTGTGGAATTAGCAACCCCTGCCAATTTGTTATCATCTGCAAATTTAATCAACATATTCTCTATTCCTTCATCCACGTCATTGATAAAGATGTCGAATAACACAGGATAGTTGCGGATTGTTCCAAAAAATTAAATGCTTTTATTAAAGTCCCAAAGGGATAGTTGTGGATTGTTCCAAAAAAAATAAATGCTTTTATTAAAGTCCCAAATTCTCTTGGCCGTTGCTGGGGCCAGGTTAGCTTCTTAGATGGATACAGAGGCAGTCTGCAAAGGGCTTCTGGACAGAGGTTGTGGTTTTAAACTCCTCCTCAGCATGTTGTTTGGCATTTATCACACAACTTTTTAAACAAAATGCTGCCTCCTGTTCTGACGTTATGGGGCTTCTTCTTTTTTTTTCTTCCAGTGAGAGACAGCTGGAAAATGAGCGAGAATGAAGAGCCAGTACAGGACACCTTGATGGAAGGTACAAAATCTCAGCAACGTCAAAAAAATTTTGGAGATCAAAACAACCTAGCTACACGGGAGGAGATGCCCACGGAAATGTGGAGGGATACATCTGGGGGGTGCCAGGTGGCCAGCTACCACGAAATCGCCATGCAGCAAAGACTACACAAAGGGAAAAAGAGGAACAGGTGTGGGGTGTGTGGGAAAAATTTCAGGGACGAGTCGAACCTCCTTAGACACTGGAGGACCCACCCGGGCGAAAAACCGTACCGCTGCGCGGACTGCGGGAAAATCTTCTGCTGGATCTCTCAGCTCGAAAGACACCGGAGATCCCACACCGGAGAGAGACCCTATAAGTGCTTGGAATGCGGGAAAACCTTTAGCTGGAGCTCACACCTCAAGAGCCATCGGCGGATCCACACAGGAGAGCGGCCATACCAGTGCTCGTTCTGCAGCAAGAGGTTTCTGAACAGCTCGGGCATGATCCGGCACCAGAGGACCCACACGGGGGAGAAACCTTTCGAATGCGCCAGTTGCGGGAAAAGCTTTGGCGACCGGTCGAGCCTGATCAACCACCAGACCATCCACACAGGAGAGAAGTCGTACCAGTGCCTAGAGTGCGGGAAGAGCTTCAACAGGAGCCACACGCTGGTCCGGCATCAGAGGATCCACGACACAGAGAAACCCTACAAATGCTCGGAGTGCGCGAAAACCTTCAGTCTGGTCCAGCACCTGGTCCGGCACCAGAGGAACCACACGGGAGAGAGACCATACCAGTGCTCAGACTGCAGCAAGAGTTTCCTGGATAAATCCAGTCTCGTGAAACATCAGAGGATTCACACGGGCGAGAAGCCATACGCCTGCCCGGGGTGTGAGAAAAGCTTCAGTCAGAGCCAGCATCTTATAAGGCATCAGATCATTCACATAGAAGAGGGACTGTGAATTGGGGTTGGAAAGGGTTTCATCTTTCCAGGAAAGCACAGAAATCCCTGTCGTTTTTTGAATCTGTTTTCTAGCCCTTATGACAACACCAAATGGCCAAAATCCTCTTACTTAGGGTGGTAAATTATACTAGAGTCGACTCGTTGAATCAATGGGGATTTAGTGAGTCTACTCTGTAGGTTCCATTGATTCAAAGGGCCTATAGCTCAGTAGTTTAAGTCTCTGGCTATGGAGCTAGAGGTTGGGAGTTCAGTTCCCCACTGTATCTCCTTGACAGGGGATGGACTCAAAGATTCGAAGGGTCCCTTCCATCTCCGCAGTTCTAAGATTATTACTCTTAACTGTGACTTTGTATGCTAAAATAACTCACAGTTATTGCTGTCAAGTCGCCTCCAACCTATGGTGGTGCTATATGGAAGAGTTATCTCCAAAATGCCCTGAACTGCCCTGCTCGGCTTTTGCCAACTCAAGCCTTGTGGTTTCCTTTAGGGAGTCAATCCATCTTGTAGTTAGTCTTCCTCTTTTCCTGCTGCTTTCAGTTTTTCCTACTGTTAATGTCTTTTCCGGAGAATCCTGTCTTCTCAGGATGTATCAAAAGTAGGACAGCTTGAGTTTCAACATTTTTTGCCTCCAGAGATGGTTCTTGATTTGATCTAGGATCTATCGTTTAGTTTTTCCAGCAGTTGAGGGTATCTGCAAAACTGTCCTCCAGCACCACATTTCCAATGGAGCACTGTTAGAGCAGATCGACGTGAATAAATGGAAGTACAGTAATAGAGGAGTTGATTCACCAAATTTCCATTGATTCAGTATGACTACTCTCGTGCAACTTACTACACTAAGCAAAAAGGTTTTGGCCACAGTGTGCTAAAGCATATTTGGGGACTCGGAAGGATTTTGAGGGAGCCAGGGTTGTGATGACTGGTGGATTCTGGGAACTGTAGTCCAAGAAAGTAACTTAACCAAATGTCTCATTCTGAGCAAACCAGAAATAAGCGACCTGGTGGCTTCCTGATGTTTTGAACGACAGTTTCCATGATTCCTGATCATGGGCCATCTTGGCTTGGACTGATGGGAGTTGTAGTCCAAAACAGCTGGAGAGTACCCGTAGTCCTTATCCCAACAATCTTATTTGATATCAGCCCGGCTCCTCTGTGAGTATGTTATTTCCAAACGTATTCTTCATGGGAATCTTTTTAAAAAAATCTGGAATTCCCCCCCAGTGTTGCCCATAGATGGGGTGGGCAAATTTTACAAGGTTGGGGCCCAGTTTCTCCCTATAAACAATATGGATTTGCACCCTGCCCCCAAGCAGAGATATTGACTTCTGCATTATTATTTTTTTAACTTTTATTTTGGAGGAGTGGAATAAGGTGCAGGGGGCTGTGCCTTGTTTTTAAGTAGAATTATCCTTCCTGGAGGCTTCCAGAAGTACAATTTCCTTCCCCCCCCCGGATATTTTTTCTTTTTGCTTTTCATTTGCTTCCAGTGTGGTGGTGGTCATGGCAGGGCGGGGGCTCCAGAAGTGTGCGGGGGCCACATATGGCATGCAGGGGGCCCACCCCTGCTAAAAATGGGTGATGATGCCTTGTCTGCACCAGCTCGTTCAGGTGAAGTGAACCACGCATTGGAACTATATGTTGACAAATGTATTCTTTGTTATATTCGAAGTGAACTTTTTGAGCTGATTTTCAGAAGAGGTGAATATGCTATAAATCATATTAAAGTTCTGTAATCTCCCCCTGGGCTGTTATTGCTCCTTTGAGGCTCTTGCAGGATGTTGAATGTGGGTCATAACCAAAACAGGGCCATCCGTGCGCAAGGGGAGATAAGTTTGAGCAAGCTCGGGAAAGTACAAAAGACCTTTAGGCAAAATGAGCCTGGAAATACTGTCATTTGGGTAACGCAACCCTCAGCATCCCTGAACAATGGCAATGAGGGATTCTGGGAATTGTAGTCCAAAGGCTTTGGGAGAAACACCCTTCATGGTGGGAGAACCCTCAGAAAGAACTCAAGAGCACCTGAGCATGCCTTGTGGTTTTTTGGGGGGGGGGGGTGAGAGCGGGAGAATGAACCAAAAAGGATGAAACCACTCACACTGCAACATTTTATTGCAGTTCCCATTTGTGCATTTAAGATAGAAACCACAGGAAACAACTAGCATACTCGGAAGCAGACCTGTTATACGTTGTATCCTTGGCAGGCTACACTTGACTGGACTTTTCAGACATTTTTTGTATTTGTGTAAACAACTCACTAGTTTCCAGTTGTGTCAATTCATGTTTATTAAAATAGTCCGAGCTTCCAACGGCAGTAGCCCTGTACCATCTTTGTTGGGGGAAAGCACAATATCAAATCAAACAAAGATAACCTTAAATACCTCCAGGTACGAGCAGAACCAGATGGGTGGACCTTCAGACCAAACGCAGGCAGATTAAGATTAAAGAGCCGCCACCCACCCCCGCTAGTATTATATAAGGAAAACCTGCCAAGTCTATCCAGTTTACAAAACAAAAGCTTTTAGCAAGCTCTTAAAGGCAATGCCACTATCTCTGTGGATAAGATGTGGCTCCAGTTTTATCAAGAGATCTCCGTAATGATTCTATCCCAAAATGGACTGGTTTGGGCCAATTTTTGTGTTGTTGCCACCAAAACACCTACCGAACGTTATTCCGTTCATAAAATAGCAAACCCACAGGATGAGATCCGGAAATAGCAGAGTAGACCGATTCATTGTCCTCGCTTGAGTGAGTCTTTCCATATAGCAGCATGCGATGCAGGAGGAGACGGGACCTCTGTGTTTGAGGTGGCAACGAGCTTGACCTTGCCCCTTCGCCAGAGGTGAATGACAATGATGTGCCATCCAGTCCATTCTGACTTAGGGTGACCCTTTCCAGGGTTTTCTAAGTACTGTACAGAGTGCTCAGAACGTGTCTTCTGGGGAATTGCTGAGAGTGTGCGGTTGGCCCAGGGCGCTACAGGTTGGCTCTTCTCCTAGGGCAAATGAAGGGGAATTTAACTCCCAGCTTCTGGCTTCATAGCCAGCTACTTATCTCACAGAGCTGCCCAGCCAGTTTTTTTTTAAAGAGATTAGATCTGCAGAAACAAGGAAAACAACATTTCCATGGGGTGGGCCTGAACAGGTTCATCTGCCAGGGAGCTTTAGAAGACGCGGCGAGTATTCATTGGTTCTTATTTTCATTTATATTCCATTCTTCTCTCTGATGACAGTAAGAACAACACAGGGTTAAAACAACAAAACTGATTTTAAAAACACACACACACAAATAGTAATCCATAAAGAAGAAAAGAATAACCTGACCATGAAAGATAACTAGGATAATCGAAAAGCCTTCTGAAACAGCTTCGCCTTACACCTCCTCCTGAATCCATGTAAAGATCTATTTTGCTGGGTTTTTGAAAGGGATTTCCAGAGCATAGGATCTACCACACAAAACTATCTCCTCCTGACATATCAGTTGGACAGCTTTGACATTTGGTACCTGCCAAAGTCTCAGATGATCTGAAATGGTCCGGGGGAGCATGTTGGCCAGTATGTGGTTCCTAAGCCATGTGTGGCATTGGTGGTAATAATGATAATGGAGTTGGAGAGGGCCTAATAAGGCCATCAAGTCCAAACGCCTGCTCAATGCAGGAATCCAAATTGAAGCCTGAAGACCACTGCTGGCACCCAATGGGTGTCAATTGTAGTGGGAGGCACCCATCACTTTGCTGTACCAGATGAGAGTGTACTATAGGAGTCTCATAATCTGATTTACAGCAGCACTAACAGGGTTTTGAGGTTATGTGAGATATTTAAGAAATGGCTTCACCAGTGCCAAGTATGCACACCTCCGTGAATGGCTGAAATGGGATTTGAACCCAGGACTCCCCATTCCCTAACTCATCACTCAATCCAGTACACCCCATTGGCTCTTATAATAGTGGAAGCTTTTTTTCCCCCATATTTCATCTTGGAGGATAGTTGAAATGTGGTGCTAGGGGAGAGCTTTGCGGATAAACCGTGGACTGCCAGAAAGACAAACAAGTGAGTTAAACCATCACTGGAGGCAAAAATGTTGAAACGGAGGCTGTCCTCCTTTGAGCACATCCTGAGAAGGCAGGATTCCCTGGGAAAGACGAGAAAGCTGGGAAAGGTGGGAGGCAGCAGGAAAGGAGGAAGACCCAATACGAGATGGACTGGTAACCTAAAGGAAACCACAGGCCACAAGTCTACAAGAGGTGAGCAGGGCAGTTGAGGCCAGGCCATTTTGGAGCGCGCTCCTTCAAAGGTTAGCTGTAAGTTGGAGGCAACTTGACAGCACATAATAATAACAAGTCTCCATAGTTTTTCATTTGGAACAAAAAAAGCACAAAACGGTGCAATTCTAATTGATCCTAGATCTACTAGTCCCTCAATTTTTTTGTTTTGGATTTAGGAAACACCAGGAGGCGACATCCATGTCGTGGTGGTTTTAATTTGCCTGTAAGGCTACAACTCGAAGCCCTTCTAAATGCACAGCTGCAGGGAGCCGCGCAAAAAGGTGGCAACCCTCTAGCTGCCCGTTGACCCATGGAATTCTTCACTATTTTTCCCGGCCCTCTGAGGGTTAAACAAGCCAAGCTTCGAGTCCTAGAGAGCCCCCGGAGAAAGGGACTGGGAGTCGTAGGACTTCCGGGATCAGACTGGGCACGTGACGTTTGAGCACCACGTGATTTAAAGAGGGAGCATTTGAGGAGTGGGCGGTGGAGGTTGGAGACGAAGGGGAAAGAAGGAAGGGAAAAATTTGGATTTAGGCGGGAAGAAATCAGTGTTTTCCTCCTTTTTGTTTCCCTGATCTTCCAGAATTTTTTTTTTTTTTGGGCTTCTTCTTTGTCTCCCTTGCAGGCCGCAGAGCAAGAGGACCGACGGGTGACGCTTCGCCACGTCTTTCCCAGAGAGAAGGAGGAAATGGCTGTCGTGCCGGTAGGGAGGAGGTCGAAGAAGATGTGGGATCCTTTGGGGGGGGGTCCCTCAACACAGGGGGGGGATCTTCCTCTTGGACCTGCTGAAAGGCATTTAAGTGGGGGTGGGCGTGTCCAAACCTTCCCTTCTGGATGAGGCCGTTCTATCTTGCCAAAAAACAAAAAAAGGGTAGATTTACCCCTTTTTCCAATGTTTGAGTCCACCAGGGAGTTGTCTGCCAGGGACATGTGTTCCCCCC